CAAGGGGGACTCGCTGGAAATGAGGTGATTTGAGGGAGCTGATCTCCCCTGCTATCTAGAGGGGAGGATGGGTCTGTCCAGACACCTCACCCCACATTCTTTACCTTTCTCTCTGGGGCCTCCTCCTGAGAGGCGGAATTTAGGTAGGGCCTGCTCCTGCATTTACTCAGCCCCAGCGGGGCTCTCTTGTCTACCGCCCCTGGACTTGCCTTTTTTCCGCTCACCCTCTTTCTGTTCTTCCAGGCCATCCTCAGTTCTTTATCCCCGCAATTTTCTCCGCCCCACTTCCTACCTCCACAGCCCCCAAACCCCACAGGCCCCTCTCTTGTCAGTGCCCGCCCCCACTTCTTTCCCAACCCTAACCTGCATCCAGCTCAGAACAAAGGGTCGTTTTCTGGCTAAGAGTGAACTGGGCCCCAGAGCCGGAGGCTGGGGGTTCCCCAAGAATCTCTGGACACCCAGTGCTGGAGCGGGTGGTGGGCAGGTGGAGCTAGGGTGAGAGGAGAGAGACTATTTCTTTGTTCTGTGGATTGGAGAGGTGGCTGGCTTTGTGTGCCCGACAAGCAGAGGAGGGTAGCAGGAGAGAAGGGCTGGTGGGGCCAGGGAGGAGTCCGGAGGACTGGCCGTTTGGGGGAGGGAGTTGAGGAATTGGGGTCCCCAGGGAAGCTGAGGCTTTGGGGAGCAAGAAGAGATTCCAGGAGTCCTGGAGGCTGGGGAAAGAGCCCAGGGGGAAGGGAGGAGTGCTGGTGGGGGAGGGAGCAGAAAGCTTCAGGAAGTCCCTGAGCGCCTGCTGGAGATTGGAAGGTGCCCGCTCCTGCAGACCTGCAGGGCCAACCTGGGAATTAGAGAAAGAGAGATTCTTGGGTGGTAGGCTCTGCGAGTTTCCTAGAATAAGTGACCTTGGAATCAGAAGGGACATACTTGAATATGCATGAATGTCGCTTGCCTCTGAGAGAGAGAATGTGTGTGTGTGTGTGTGTGTCCTGTGTTTGCCTTGCTGCTGCTATCTCTCCCCAGATGCTCCAGGTTACAGGGTTTTTTTTAATCAGTTTTTTTTTTTATCATTAGTCACCAAAGTCAGGGCCCCATGGCCATGGTCTCTGGACTCCAGGAAGTAGATGTCTCCTGAGCTTCAGTCCCTGGCTTGAAGTGAGAGCGGGCAGAGAGGAGCTGGCTGGACCCTTACTGAGTTTGTTTATGTCTCCTTGGCGTTGGGGCGGGGCTGCCGGCAGCAGCTGCCCCCCTCCCACCCCAGCCGGTCTGCCCTGTGCCAGGAGGGCAGGGAGTCCTGGCATAGCTATTGTTCGCCTGCACAAACGCCTGTCTGTTAGCAGTGTTCCCCCCTCCCGCCCTGCTCGCCTCTCTCTCCTGGCCCGACAGGTGTGACTAGGTGGGGGGCAGGCTGGGGTCCAGGATGCCTGGATCTCAGGCACCTATTCTCTCTAGTCTGGTTTTCTTCCTGGTGGCCCCTAGAGCCCTTCCCTCCTCCACTTCACCAGGATGCCCAGCCCCGCCATCTCTTCTTCATTCATTAAGCAAGCATTTATTAAGTGCCTTTGTGTGTCTGCCAGTGCCTCTCCCCTCGGCCTGCCTTTATCTCATCCCTGGGAGCTGTAAAGGGGCAGGGCCAGGGAAAAACTAAAACCAACCCCGAGGCCAGGAGGCCCCCCTCCTGCATTCCTAGAGCCATTGCTCACCCCACCTTGACTCACTGCCCAGGTGCTGAGCCACCCCCGCAGCAGAACCCTCCAGGGCTCACCTGGAGACAGGCCCCACCATCTTGAGGAAGGCGCTCCTTGCAGGAGCAGGGAGTGGAGGGTGCAGTATTCCTTCCCTGTGTGACCGCCCCAACAGTGTGGCCTTGCCCAGAGCTGCTCTAACTGGCCCCTCCGCCTTGGAGTCAGCTCTGCCAGCCCCTGCAGCCTCCTGGCGAGCACAGGAAGTCACCTGCCGGGCTCGGTATCATCTGTCCTGGGTGGCCATCCCTTCCGCCATCTTCTCTCATCTCTTGGGGCTGTGAACGTTTCTGAGCAGTCACCCACAGTGCTCTGCTGGCCCTCGCTCCCCGTTTTCCTCACCCCGGAGACACCATGACCCAGCCTGCTGCCATGGCAGTGGCAGAAGGGTTTGAGCTGGCCGGAGTCGGACCTCCAGAGGAGACGCTCGGGTCAGGGTCTCAGGAATTAGGAGAGGGGGGCTGGGAAGGAGGAGAAAGGGACAAAGAAAGGAGACTGAAAACTCTGAGGAGGATTGACCTGGAGCAGGGGTGCTAGTTTGACTCCCCTGAGCTGGAACAGAGCTACTGCCGGGGCCCCGTGTCCCAGTGTCTGTCCGTCCATCCATCCATTCTAAATTTCAAAGCCTGCATGGAGCGCTTGTTGTCTGTTCAATGCTCCCACGTGCTGCCCGTGCCGGAATCACTGCTTCGCTGAAGGTGTGGGGCCATAGCGTGGATGGGAATTGTTCTAGACTCCGTTGACGGGACTGATCCAAGCCGGAAGAAGCTTCTGAGTGTGGATTGGGTTGGGGATGGGAAACCCTTTCCTGGGAGGACAGAGGAGGGTGCGGGGAGAAGGGCTGTCCTGGCAGGTGGGTGAGTAGGGAATGGATGTGGTCCTCTTAGGAAACAAACCAGCTCACCCCACTTCGCCTGGAGGAGAACAGGGTCCTTGCTCCTGAGCCGCCTGTGTTCGGGGCGGGCGCAGGCCGCCTTGCAGACAATAGTGCTAGGCAGTGCCAGGGCCGCTTGCTGCTGGGCAGCACCCGTGCTGGGATGTGCTGCTGCTGGAGCTGCTGCCCACTGCTGGCCCACCTAGAGAGGGGGTCACTCCTAGAGCGGGTGAGTGTGGGGGGTGTGACCAGTCAGGAATCAGACAGAGTACCTGGGTTGTCACTTTGTGGGGGTCAAGGCCACGGGAGGCGGGCCTAAGAGACACCCGCTCCCTCCTGGCTGCCCATCAGAGCTGGCTGGGCAGGTGAGTGGTCCTGGAGGTGAGGTGCCAGGTAGGTGAGGAAAGAGCAGTTGAGCCAGCTGTAGACAGAGCTGCAGATCGGGAGCTGACCCCTGACCCTGACCCAGGCAAGTGCTATTCTTTTCACTGTGCCCTTGTGGTCCTTGCGCACCTACCAAGTGTCAGATGCTTCGATTGTGGTCTCGGAGAAGGCTGGGAGGGCAGGAAAGGAAGGGTGTGTGTGGCCGGAACCAGGGAGCCTGGACTTGCTTTTTGAAGTCTCTAAGGTTATTATTCAGAAAGAAAAACAGCTGTGACTTGGTGCTAATTAACACTGAGTTTTCTAGGGGTCTGGGGGGGGGGGGCGTAAAAGAGGGAGCTGGGACTTTAGCTCCCAGTCAGCTTCCCTCCAAGGCCTAGGTGAAGGGGAGCCGGCCTGCACCTCTGGGTGGGGTAGGGTGGGAGAGACCCAGGCAGTAGCAGAGTGGACGAGTGCAAAGGGGAGACAGAGGGAGATCCCGTGGTGAGAAAGCAGGCCATGGGGAAGAGATGAAGAAATAGGAATGGGGGGGAGGGGAGAAGAGGGAGACGATGATGGAGAGGGGCGAGAAGAGACAGCGCTGAGTGAGGCTCCTTAGCAGGCAAACCTGGATCCTCTGAGGAACAGCAGGAGAGTGGAGGCTCTTAGGCCACCCGGAAGCCAGGAGACCTTGGGGCCCTGGGCCCTCTGGCCCCAGCACTGCTGCTTCAGCCCATTTATACTTCCCTTTTCTGCCATAAGCACTGTCCAGTGCACCCCTTCCCCTCCCCCGCCTCTCACCCACCAGGCGGCAGGAGCTATGTGAGTCAGGACTCTCCCTTGAGGTCCAGGCCGAGGGCTCTCCACTGACCACGGCCCCAGCCCCAGACTCGGGGGCCCATCTCAGCCTCGACCTGGATCCAGCCCTGTGATTCCCAAGAGGCAGAGAAACCTTGCAAGGAATGTCTTTATCAATGCTGGTTCCCACTTCCCATCCTCCCAAGAATCGAAGGCAAATCCAGGGCTCAGAGAGCACAACTTCAGAAGGTCCTGGAAGGAGGCTATCCCAGTGTCCGACCTTCTCCAGCCTAAGCGGGGACAGCGCAGAGGCTGCACACACAAACACACCCTGTCTCTGCAGAAGGGCTGACTGCAGCTGGAGCAGAGAGGGCAGATGTCAGAAAGGACTTTGAGCGTGTGGAGACAATACAGTGAGGCGTGGGAGTTCTTCTGGCTTTCTGTGTAGGGCAATGTGAGAGGGGTAAAAGTTAAGACTGCAGGAGAGACTTCCTGCCAGGAACAACCCAGAGGATGGAGTCTCCTTCCCAGCAGACCCTAGACCAGGGGAGTAACCCACCCAAACCAGGCTCCTCCTGCTTTGAGGTCAGCGGGGGCCACGCTGCATCCCAGAAAGAGGCTTGGTGACCTTTGGTTGCTGCTTGTAGATGATACAGAGGTTGGGGGTGCTGACCTCGATTGGGGGAAGCAATGAGGCACCCTGTCCCCTTGAGCCCATCTAAAAAGGGGGATCTCCTGCCCTACCTTGCACACACACCCCGCGCGCGCCCGCCCCCCCCACCGTGACTGCCACAGAGGCAGCGCTCCAACACTGGTTGTCATGGTTATAAGAGGAGCTAACTCCCATAGATTGGAAAGCGCTGGTGAGCTGGCACCCTCTGCTTCCCCTGCTCTTCCCGCCTCTCTGCGCATCTTCCCCCGACACAGGAGCCCAGCACAGCAGCTCGGGGGCGAGCAGAGCTATAGCTAGGGCTGGGAGGTAGAGTGAGGACGCCAAGGGCTAGAGCCGGCGAGATGAGCGGCAGCCGGAGGCAGCCCAGCCGCAGGGGCCAGGTAGGTCAGGGCCCCAGAGCCCCTCTGGGCTGGCTGACCCAGAGCCTGGTCTGGTCCCCGGCTCCGCTGGAGGCTTTTCTCCCTGGCCTCTGCCCTCTGCCTGTGTTCTCTGGGTTGCTCAGTTAGCCTGGCATCTTCCAGCCTCACGTCCTACCGTGTCTGTCTCTCCCCTTGCACAGGCCCGGGAAAAGGAGAGGATGAAGGAAGCCAAGGATGCCCGCTATACCAACGGGCACCTCTTCACCACCATCTCCGTCTCAGGCATGACCATGTGCTATGCCTGCAACAAGAGCATCACTGCCAAGGAGGCCCTCATCTGCCCGAGTAAGTGGTTTGGACCCTGCCGCTCGTTCTGACTCGGTGCCCGCTGACCCTGGTCTGCCCATCTGTCCCTTCTGCCCTGGATCCGCACGGGTCTTTCTCGCCG